AAGTAGAGGAGAGAATTATGATATCATGATAATTTCATCGATAAACCTTCGATAGTACAACACATTCCATCAATACATATTACTGGACATCCTCCGGCTAGTGGAATGCATGACTGTGAAGTAGTACATTGCAAGCCAAAATACGCCCACCATTTGGACATTTTTGTGGTACCTTAAGCAAATGACTCATTTCATTTCGGACTCCGGAAGAAAAGTTATTTTTCAAAACGAAACGGAATCCCGCACCAAATGGACTCTATTCAATTTCAAATCTCAAAGTGAAGAGATAAAACAAAAGAAAAACTGAAGTAATTTGTTCGAACGGTCTGAAGATTTCTCAGATATTTGATTGTTTTTAAAATTACTGGAAAATGAGTAACCAACCGTACAACAAATTCTTTGTAAACAAGCAACCGGTTCTTTGGTGAACGGAAGACATTGCTAAGGTTGCATACAACCAACCACCAGAGCTGTTCCTCCGTTACTACAGATTACTGGAGCGGGATACGGTATTTTAATTGGATTGTTTGATTTGGTACAACATGCGCCACCGATGCAATCAACCGGATCAGTTGTATAAGGGCTACACTGTATGGTACTGGAACAACCCTAAGCCACAGCGTGCCGATCAACAGGACACTTGAAATCAACCAAGTCATACAGTGCCAGAACGATGGTTGCTAAAAGATAGAATACGAATAGCAGTCTTTCTGACTGATGCATCTAAAATTTCATTATCCTATTGAAAATATATCATAATTTAAGGGAAAGTAACAACGACAACTTCTTTATAGTGTTGGCCAATACCGTATCTGTGCAACGCTAGAGCCAAGCTTTATTGTAAGCAGCTGGAAGCGTTATGGCCAATTCCTTCTAAGTTATATTCATTGTTGCAAAATATGTTCAAAAGAAGAAATTCGAAAAGTCTTACAGCGGTATTGAACTTTTATTAAATAATTTGGAATATTCGGAAAAATTTCAACGAATAATGCAAAGAAGAAAGTGTTAAATCAAAAATAACGCTAAAGTGATATTGGATAAGCCAATTTTCTGTGATAATTTTAAAGTTGAAACTTCGAACTGTCCCGAAATCAGTGACATTGCAAAATATTCACAATTTATTGCCGGAGAATGTCGCATCATTTCAGTGAATCAGAAATGGCTCACAAATAGATTACTAAAATGTGAGGACAGCTAGAAAAATCAACAAAAGCTCAAACGCAAAAACACACATCCGATTTGATTGCACAGATGGAAGTATGCATTTCGGCCTGTCGTAAGAATCTTAAAGCTCGCAATATTTGTTAGAACGATGAGTGTATCCATCACTGTTCGAATTTATCAGTTTGATCTTCTGATAAGATGCTTATATCAGCGTGTTGGATCGGAAGGAAGTGATAAATGTGAAATAGTCAATCACATTTTATATTCTGCTATTGCTCTACCTTTTCTAAGGTTTAATTATTGGTCTTCATAGGTCAACATTCCAACTGTCCTTCCTAAAATTTTCGCTAAGTCATTTGGTTATTTTATACAAGTTATTTATCAATTGTTAAAATATCGAACTCTTCCACTTCTGACTTCTTAGATTAGCGTCTACTTTTGAAACAATCCCCTTTTTAAAACATAATTTAATTGATTTGCATCTAATAGATTC